TCTTAGATTCACATTTTGTAAGTTCCAGTAGTTTCTCCTCATTTTGAATTGTACTCCATCATTAAATGAGTTCCTGAAAACTTTATACCTCTCACATAATAATGGTCACGTCTAGAGGAGCCGGTTCTTCCCCATTTATATATAGAATGCCTTCACACCTGAGGAGTTCGTGTTCTGGGATTATAGTAATAGTGTTCTGGTGCTATTCATGATGTTTCCATCTTTTGGTACTGTATCTGACAGGTTCCACTGCTATTCTTAATGTCTTCCATGGCTAAACTCTCAGAAGTAGTCCTTCTTCCTCATCTGTCTTAGTCTGGAATCTCAAGTGAAACCTATTAATCATGTGTGACCCTGCTAGTTTTTAAACTACCAGTGCCATTGCTTCCAGCATAGTAGTAACATTCAAGTCACCACAGTACAACAAACTGAAAGAAGATTGGTGGGTATGTTACTTTGGTGAGTTTTAACTAGAGAATGAAAAGTTGATGAGTAGTCATCTAAGGTACAACTCTGGCCTCTGCCCTTCTGGGCCAAAGAAAAGTGAAGAAAATCAAAGGCATATGGAAACATTCTAAAGGACCAAGGAGTTGCACCTGAACTTCAACCTCCATGGCTCTGAAACCCAAACAATTAGATGGTGCCTGGCTCCCGCTACTGACTTACGGGAAAGGGATCACATTAGAAAATCCTGAATAGAGTGGGAGAAAAATGTGGAACAAAATTCAAAATTGTAAAAAAGACGAAGCTTACTGGATGGTGAATGACTAGTGGAACTCCCAGATACTATGACCCTTAGACACCCTTCAAGATTGACATTGAACTCACCTTCATGGATCAATTTTCAGCCAAACAATAGACAGGTCCCGAAGGGGAACAATAACACTAGGGAGGTATGCAGTCCATAGAACCATCAACTACTTGAGATCAAAAGGGCAGCATTTGCCTAAGGGCAAACCTCAGGAAAAGTTAGGAAACAGGAGTAGAAATGGAAACTTCACCCCATAGAAGTGGGATGAGGGATGGTACATTGTAGGGATGGCAATAAATGACAGGAAACAGAATATGTATGAATTGTGGAATGGAAAACTGATTTTCTCTGCTCACCCAATCTATAATAAAAAGGGTTTTGTTTATTTTATTTAAAAAAAAAAAACAAAACTGTAAATTATGCCCTAACTTTTCTTTTATGTATATATATCATTCATATCCAAAAATTTATTAGTGCTTTGTAATCTTCAAGTTAAAGGTAATAAAGAAAGTAGTAGAAGAAAATGCTTTGGTAAAAGAGATAAATTCAAATGACTGAGTTTAGGAAATCTCTATTGGATCAGATTTATATGTATGAATTCATTATACCTTTATAACAACAACAACATGCTTGATTTAATTCATCATCCTTTAGAAGTTGAATCAACATTCAGCCAGCCACTCAGTCTGGGAAAATTTCATTTGAAAGTTCTCATTAGGTTTTTGCAGGCTTTTCCAGATCTCTTTGACATAGGTATAAGCCAAGCAAATTGATTTTCATTTTTAAGGATGAATTCCATCATATTTTTTTTCACACTACTTCCCATTAAAATGATTAAATGGCTAGATCAAAGCTACTAGAGCACTATACTGAAACATGACTTACCTATAGTTTTGCTTTTCATTTCCTATGTGGAATCTGTCATACTGTGAATAGGCTTGGTTTCCTTCCCAGTCCATTAACTCGATTCTTAGCATATACTGCCTTTGACTGGTTATGGCAAAAATAAACTCATTCCCCAGCCAGTATTCACCAGAGGGATTTCCAAAACCCTGAGGAAGAAGATAAAAATGCAGCTATTAATTTAGAAAGAAGAGCTTTTCTGATTTAGCCTATAACAATGACTTAGATAATAAAAACTAATCAACACTCTGTTGATTTTACATTTTTACATAATTTTCTTCAATTACTGACTCCTTTCAATACGTTCGTGCTATGCATCCTTCCACTAAGGTTATGCCCAACTCTTACTACTGTAAAACTTTTAGTACTTGGTTGTATATTAGATATTTTTGGTTTACATGAACTTGGAGTTCTGGTGTGGTGTTGGAGAAAAAGCTCTAGACCTCAAGGTCTATATGAATTACAAGTTCAGCAGTTCCAACTCACCAGCTGCTCCTTGGAAACTCTATAAAGAGACACTTTGAGTTGGAACTAACTCGACGGTACTTAACAATGGCAAACACTATGTTTAACAAGAAAATATGTTTAAGTCAAAGGTTTGCTTTAGAAAATATTTCTAAAATATTGATTAATGGAATATTTTGAATTTAATGTAAACATTTTTAAATGGATATTACCAAGATAGTATCAAACCACTGGAGAAAAGATAAGACTTTCTGCCTCTGCAAAGATTTACAGCTTCAGACACCCTTTGTAGGGTGTCTAACAGTCAGAACAACTGGATGGCACTTAACAGCAACAAGAAGAATTTCCAGACTAGTTATTTACTAATATTTCTATTGCTTCTGCTGCTATCATTCTTGTTTGGGAATATAATTATACTCTAAAAAGACCTTACATAGGTTAGTAGATTCTTGGCTTTTGCAGTTTTAGCATTTTCATTTTTAAATATTAATACATAATTAATAAACATGCTCTGGCTAGCAAGAGCTAGTGAGTGAACCTAGCTGACTGCTCTTCATCAGATGATCAATATGGCTTTGTTATTCTCTTTTAGACAATTCCATTGGTAGTTGTTAAATACTCAAAATAGTTCCTGAGGGAGAAAAAAGTACTTCTCAAAATGAAGATAACTCTCTGCATTGACAGTGTTAGTGAAAGGAAATAACTCTAAGAAACTTCAGGCATTCTAGACTTTGAATATTCACAGTGGCTTCAGAAAGTATTCCATGAAAATGTTTGAGTCCAGACTCTTTCCTGGTCTACATGTTTTCTTACTGACTAGTCTGTGAGCATCCTGATAATGGCAGCCATGTTCTACTTGTGAATCCTCAGATGGAGTGACAGCATACACTGAGAACTGTTTAAGTGTTTCCCGAAGTTCATAGACAAAAGAAGAGCAGAGGAAGGAAAGAAGAGGGGAAAAGGGAAGAAGGAAAGGAGGGAAGAAATAAGTAAAATATTGTAACAAACCCCATTGTGATCAAGTCAATTCCCACTTACAGGAACCCAATAGGATGCTGTAGAACTGCTTCCTTAGGTTTATTATGATGTAAATCTTTATGCAAGCAGACTGTTGTAGGTTGGCAGCCGAACACTTAAGCAGTGAGCCACCAGATCTGCATAAAATATTATGTTGTTGTTGTTAGGAACCATCGAGTCACTACCGACTCATAGCGACTCTATGCACAATAAAATGAAACACTGTCCAGTCCTGTGCCAACCTCACAATCGCTGCTACGTTTGAGTCCATTGCTGCTGCCACTGTGCCAATCCATCTCATTGGGGGTCTTCCTCCTTTTCTCTGACCCTACATTTTACCATGATGTCCTTCTCCAGGTACTGGTCCTTCCTGATAATGTGTTGGAAATATGAGCGATGAAGTCTAGCCATCCTGGCTTCTAAGAAACCTTCTGGCTGTACTTCTTTCCACACAGATTGATTTGTTCTTTTGGCCGTTCATGATAGTTTAAATATATTCCTCCAATACCATAACTCAAATGCATCAATTCTTCCATAGTCGTCTTATTCACATGCGTATGAGGTTATTGAAAATGCCATAGCTTGTGTCAAGTGCACCTTAGTACTTTAACTGACAACTTTGCTCTTGAACACTTTAAAGAGGTCTTGTGTAGCAGATCTGCCCAATGCAATAGTCACTTGAATTCTTGACTGCTATTTCCGTGAGTGTTGATGGTTAATTCATGAGGAATGAAGTCTTCAACAACTTCAAACTTTTCTCCATTTATATGGATTTTATTTATTGGTCCAGTGGTGAAACTGACTCTTGGGTCTATGCACAGGTTCCTCAGGAGCACAATTAAATGTTCTGGAATACTCATTTTCCAAAATGTTGTCCATAGCTTGTCATGATCCACACAATCAAAAATCTTTGCATAGTCAATAAAGCACAGGTAAATGTTTTTCTGGTATTCTCTGCTTTCAGCCAAGATCCATCTGACATCAGCAATGATAACCCTTGTTCCTGTGCTCTTCTGAATCTGGCTTGAAGCTCTGGAAACTCTCTGTCAATGTGTGGTTGTGGCCATTTTTGAAGCATCTTTAGCAAATTTTACTTGCATGCGACATTAATGATATTGCCCAATGATTTCTGCATTCGGTTGGGTCACCTCTCTTTGGAATGGGCACAAATACGGATCTCTTCCAATCAGTTGGCCAGGTAGTTGCCTTCCAAATTTCTTGGCATAGATGAGTGAGTGTGTCCAGGACTGCATCCATTTGTTGAAATATTTCAATTCCTGGTGCTGTGTTCTTTTCCAATGCCTTCAACACACCTTTGACTTCTTCTTTCAATATCACTGATTCCTGGTAATATGCTACTTTTTGAAATGGTTAAATATTGACCATTTCTTTTGGTACAATGACTCTGTGTATTAATTCCATCTTCTTTTGATGCTGTTTGCATCATTCAATATTTTGCCCATAGAATTCTTCAACACTACAAGTCAAACTTGAAATTTTGATGTTAATGTTTTTGTTAAGTGCCGTCTAGTCAGTTCCAAATCATATTGACCCTGTATAGGGTTTCTAAGGAGTGATTGGTGAGTTTTAACCACTAATCTTGTGGTTCAAACTGACCTTGCAGTCCAGTGCATAAACCCACAGTGCCACACCAGAACTCCTACGTATGATAGCATTTTGTAATTAATATTCAAAGAAATAATCTTAAATCATACTTCTTATTGAAAGCAATTTGGTTTGAGTCTAAGGGAAGTGTTTCTGAAAGTGTTCAACTGAATCATAATCACTAGAATTCTAGGTGAAAAGCACATAGTCTTGGCTTCCCATAGAATCAGAGTGTCTGAGAAGAGCTTCATGAACCTGCATTTGAACGAGCTCCTTAATTTGCTCTGTGCACTGTAGTGTTTGCAAGTCCCATCTTAGTAATTTTAGAATAGACTGCTATGTCAGGAGAAAGAAATTCTGATTAACTGAGGCTTTCACTAATAGAGGATTTATAATATCTAAATTAGACATATTAGAAAAGGAATAAAACAATCACAGCAGTCCTTGTTTTCTCAACACCAGGACAGAATTTGGAAAATGTGTGCTTCCTGTCTGCTAAACAAGACCTCTTTAAAGTGTTGACGAACAAAGACATCAGTTTGAGACTACAGTGTGCCTGACCCAAGCCATGGTGTCTTCAGTAACCTCTTATGCATATGAAGGTTGGACAGTGAATAAGGAAGACCATAGAAGAATTGATGTATTTGAGTTATGGTGGTGGAGGGGAATATTGAAAATACTATGGACTTCCAAAAGAACAAACTATCTGTGTGGAAAGAAGTACAGCCAGATTGCTTCTTGGAAGCCAAGAAGGTCAGGGTTCATCTCTTGTACTTTTGACATATTCTATCAGTAGGGGTCAGTTCCTGGAGAAGGATATCATTCCTGGTAGAGTGGAGATTTGGACAAAGAGAGAAAGACCCGCAGTGAGCTGGATTGACAGTGGCAGCAGCAATGGGGTCAGGCGTAGAAACGATTGTGAGGTTGGCACAGAATAGGCAGTGTTATGTTCTCTTGTGTATAAGGTCACTATAAGTCAGTATTGACTTGAGGGCACCTAACAATAACATGCTTCCTGTCAAATTTAAATATATATCAATCTTGTAGAATTATAACTGCAGAAATTTTCTAAACTTTTTTCTTTTATTCAACTTAACAAATGAACTAGTGCTTTCGATTTCTTGTTTAAAATATATTGATGTCTTGAGCATACTAAAAATGCATTAAATATACTTGAGTATTATTGCCTTGTCAACTGAGTTGCATGCTTACCAATGATAAGATGTATTTGTTCCCAATCCTGTTTATGCTGGTTTTGTTTTATCATGATAATATTTATAATATTTTAGTAAATATGTTAAAGAGCAGTGGAAAAACAGGGCAGTTTTTCTTTCTTTTTTTTATGAAACCCAATTTAAATATTGAGTTTTGCCCAATAAAAGCAAATTACTTTTAAAAAATTATACTTTTGAAACTCTGGGGGAAATAATGCAATTATGGAAGATTTCTAAATTAGACTATTTTTCATGTCTCTTTAAGTGCTTTCTTTATTTTAAATACTTTAAACTAGAAATTGAATGCATCCCATGATGGAACAGGTTTATGTAAAAACCACTGACCCAGATTGTCCAGGCTTTGGCCCTATATTAAAAAATGGACAAATTAATGTGTATGTTTATATTTAAAGTTAAAATGAAATGTAGTAATATATATAGTTGCTGTTGTCAAGTTGGTGCTGACTCATAAGGACTCTGTATAGTTTCCCAGGAGCAGCTGATGGATTTGAACTAATCCATTGCTTATCCTACAGCACCATACCAGAACTCCATTAGTAAATGCATGCATACTTAAAAATGATTGCCCAATTTAACTTAAGAGTTTTTTTAAACACTATTTTTCCTAATTACACAGGTTACATATTTCTTTGGAAATTATCTATAGGTCAGAGCAAAAAGGTTGGACTCATTGAAATTAGTACACCAGTAGCTCCTTACTTCTTTGTTACTGAGTTGTTCAATTCACACTTTGTAAAAGTTTCACAGTGGCAGTAAATATTGCTGCAGTTAAGGATGTGCTAAGATTTTCACACATTATTATGGCGGCCCCTGCTACATATTAGGGA